CTTGTTCATTTTCTTTCTCCTCCAACCACTGCTGTAGTCTCTCTCTTCTTCTTTATTTTCTTTCTCCTCCAACAACTACTGTAATCTCTCTTCTTGTTTATTTTCTCATTCTTCTTGTTTCTTTTATTTTTCCTTCAGCAACTGCTGTAATCTGTCTTGTTTATTTTGCTGTTTGAGATGCCACTGTTGCAGGTTTTCTTTCCACTGCTGTTGTCTCTCTTCTTGTTTCTTTTCTCGTTCTTCTTGTTTCTTTTATTTTTCCTCCAACAACTGCTGTAATCTTACTTGTTTATATTGCTGATTGACCTGCTACTGTTGTAGGTTTTCTTGCCACTACTGTTGTCTCTCTTCTTGTCTGTTTTCTCGTTCTTCTTGTTTCTTTTCTCGTTCTTGTTTCTTTTGCTCTTCTTGTATTGCTGCCATCAAATCTGCTAAACTGTAGTTTGATTTGCCACTTCTAGTTTCTATCTTCTTTTTTTTTTCTTTTCGGTCCCACTCTCTGCTTGTTCGTTAATTTCCGGTAGAAATTCTTTCCGAGGAACTTCAGAGATACGAGTCCTTTCTTGATACAAACTGTTAGCACACAGTAATTTCACAATCAATACGTTTCTCGTCACTTTAAACTTGACTACTTTTATAATACACGCTATAAATCACAGCGATTCACAATCTCGATAACGTCGCACACTAGCTCGAAACAGAATCGTAAATTACCCGGAACTCTCTTCATTCATCCCGCAGGCTTTCTCTGCCAGGCTTATATACTAAAAAAGAGGGCGACTCGAACAAACTCGGTCTTCCCCGATAAATCATGATCATTCGAGAAATTCATCATGTGCTACCAGCGTCACGTGACTTCCGCTGTCGTAACAGTACATTGCAGTAAATAAAATGATGGTACGTTTTTCAAAATATCATAAATAATAATAATCGCTGGACGAAATCATTAACGAGCAAGGAAGTTTATGTGAAAATACTTTCTCGCCCAATAATTAGCGGAATAAAAATATGTGACTAAGATTTCAATGTGATTAAAAGTTTTAAAACGTAAAAGAAGTAATAAAGTCGATTACAAAAAGCAAAATTGGCAGGTAGTTGAGTAACAAGGTGCAGGTGTTCGTCAGACTTTTCGTTTTCTATCTGCCCTTTTTTTTATTAAAAAACTTTTCAGCTAAACATCTCCATTTCAGGTTCATAATAGTTGAGAGGTATTATGAATAAATGTTTAATAATATCTTAAATGAACAAACATTTTAATATATTTTTATCAATGAGTTGCGCGTGTATGTGTGTGTTTCTAGCGAGTTAGATCTACTGGAAGTGGAAAATCACGTGTTGGAGAGAAAACGACACGCCCAGTGTCAGGACCAATGAGAGCTATGATGTAAGAAATTCAAATTTATACAATTTTATTGTTGATATAGGACACACTGTTATTATTTTTTATATCTGAGTGTCTAAAATTATTAAATTACATTTGTGTTATATTATGAGTTATTGTGTTCGAACATTCAATAAGGTTATCATGTTTATGATTATGTTAGTAAGGATGATTTATACAGGACAAAAGAATTCCTAAGGGCATGAAACGTGTGAGGGTTGAATAGTCAAGGAAATTTCACTGCTTTAATTACTTACCGTATTTTTCGGAATATAAGACGCACCCTTATTTTTAAGACAAAGTTTTGGCGGAAAAAAAGCTACAGTCGCATT